GAAATAATTGTCGGTGAATTTTTGTCGGTGAAATGTTATGTCTACGAAATGAGCGTCGGTGAAGTGATACGTATCCATATAAAATTTATCCAAACTGTACTCTATCATTGAATATTAATTATTCGCCTTTTGCCAATCCTTTATACTTAAATATTTTTTTTGATAAATTATAACAACCAGATCGTGAGTATAAAGTCTTATTCCAATTGCATGTTGTTTTAAACAGTCTTAATTTTATAATTATGAGTTATCTTATAAAGAACGGGTGGGTATGAAAAATCACTTACAAATTTTGACGAATTAGCTCATCAAACAATAGACAGTATAGAGGCCTTCGACCATATCACATATTCTACACATGTTATTACCATTAATGATGAGTCCAAGACTTGTAATATCATAGACGGTATGAAACTAGGTAATAGATCAGAAGTTCGGAATGACGTCTCTGAGAACATATCAGTATATTCAACTATTTCTCAAGGTCCTTCAGACATCGCAATTACTGAAGCTGAACGATTGTTCTCACTACTTAAAAACCAGAAAGATAAAATTGATAACATTTTGGATTCACATGCTGTATATGCAGTGGGTCCTAAATTTCAGAATGATTATTCCATGCCTTATATTGCTTGTTGGGTTGCTAATCCTCTCACGGAATCAATTATGGAAAAAATTTCGGGGTTGTTTAATCATGAATTTGGGGTCGCATACCATTTAGTGAAGGCCAATGATAACAATGGGGGCCCAAACAATACATCAAATGCGAGTGGTAACATAAGTGGTGGTTTTTCAACAACTAATAGTGATATGGTCGAGCGTGAAGGAAATGATGAAAACAGTGATGATAATGATAGTGAATATCATGATGCTGATAACGGTGAAGACGATGAAAATGAAGATGAAGATGGTAGTGATAATGATGACGATGGTGATAATAGTGATGGTGGTGGTGACGATGATGACGATGGTAAAATTATAATTTCTTCAGATGGTGGAGTCGAATTTGAGGATAAAAAAATAATTGGAACTGAAGATAAAAAAATGTTTCAATATTTCAACATAACTATTAAACTCTGGGTAAATGTCAAACTTAATTCTAAAAATAATTCCAGCTCAAGTTTAGAGTTTGAGGTCGACTTAAATAATTGCGCAGTGACAGATTTACTCAGCGAACAATGTCCGTCTCTAGATAATTTTATTTGCTACTATATCGACTCATTAGAAATTTGTGCCTCTCCGCTTAAGTCCGACAACGCATGTATAATTATCCAAAAGCAAAAACACAGTCCACATAAGTCTAATAATGATATAACATCTACAAAAGTCCATGACAAAGACTATCTTTTTCAAATGGATGTAGGTGCACCGCAAAGTATCAAAGCAACCTTTGGTGGTGGCACAAAGAAAGGTCGAAGTTTAACGGCAGCAACAAAAGAATGGGCTATGAGGGATACATTTAGCGGAATTACTGGCAACAAATGGTCATATCGATTTACTGATAGCGATATAGGTGATAACTTGGACAGTAGAGTTAGCATTAATACGGATGTACATAAGAGTCATTGGGACATTGGGAATAAGATAGCTGGATTTCGTGTAACAATTACGCAGAAAATGGGAAATCCAATGTTTATAAATATCTACATAAAAAACCAAAGTTAATAAAAGAGTATCCTCGACTCGTTTACCAACTTGAAGTTTCTTTTACAAGCATAAAAAAACTTAATTCCGACTTTAAAAAGCATGCAAAAAAAAAGTGTCACGGAGGGCCAGTAATTATTGTTCCTTCAAAAAGCAATAACCAACCTCAGCAAGAAAATAATGAAGGGTTTATTAGTCGCGGTGTTAAGGGTACTTTTAATAAAAAGCAATAAACAACCTCAGCAAGAAAATAATGAAGGGTTTATTAGTCGCGATGTTAAGGGTACTTTAATAAATAAGT